TTTTGGGCTTCAGGATTTTCAAGTCCTAGATTTTTTTTTTTTTAATTTTTGCCATATATTACAAAAAATTCAGACAAGTAGAAAAAGAAATAAAATGCCAAACCTGCTGTTTTAGTTTAATACATTTACTTTATATTTGTTGTTATTTTTATTCCACTGTGGGAAATAAGTAGTAAAACCTTAATTATTTTTAATGTAACTATTTACATTTTGAATGTGATATTAGCGAATTCAGTTATCTCTTTTCTATTATTTTCCACTGTTAAAAATTGCATTTTTTGGTTTTTAATCTTTGAAGTACTAATCCATTTAGAAAAGAAACACCTCATTTTCTTGAAGTTTATAATGTTGAAGAGTCTTTTCCTGCCTCTGTTGAGACATGGTAGAATGATGTTATGTTTTCATATCTGAGGTAATATTCAATAAAAGTTTTAAAAGTTGAAATTTAAAGATAGGGTATTTAAGATGCTTGGTTTTATTTTTTTCATTGTGGGCAATATGTGAATTTTAGAAAATATATGTTAAAGTATTGCATATACTAAATGTTTGAAAGTATTTGCTACACTGTAGTGAGCTTTTAACACCAGCTGTAAAAACAAAAATGTGTGGAAAAAAGACAGATGGTGACAGATCAGAATGGATAATAAAGAATTTCTTTATAGTTGCTAATTAAGTGGCAAATTAGTTATCCTTAAATGATTGATGTAATGTAAATGGCTTCTTAATATGTATGTTTTTCTATACAGATATAACTTGAAAATGCTCACATAGGTACAAATAATTTTGTAAGTGAATAAAATGGATATTCTCTTCAAAGAGTTAAATTTTAGACCTATTAATGTTCTTCCTTTATAAGCCATTTCAGAAGAGCTTAAGATTTAAAATTCAAAACCTTGAAACTTTAGTTAAAAAGAAATTCTTGTGTGTGTGGGAAAATACTGTTGTAAATATTTAGGTGGATTTATGTGTGATTATATTTTAATGTGCTCTGCAATAAAATTTAACCCTTAGCTTGAAATTTCCCTTCCATTCTGATGCAACACTTTATTTTGAGCTTTTGTTTTTAAGACATTAATTAAAATATGATACAGTGTAAGTTTTATGAAACGTTATTAGATGTGTGGTCACAACTGAGTCTGGTGAGCCTAGAGACAGTTTGGTGAATTGGGATGGTGGACCAAACTATTGTTTCATCCCAGCCATATTGTTTTTCTGCCAAGTAACTAAGAACCTTTATTTTACAATGGCATAGTGGGCTACTAATGTTCTTTAAAGAGTGAGGAGAGAAAAAGCAGTTGTGAAAGGGATTCCTTAGGGTGCCTCTCTTATGATTTTACTTTCATAAAAGCAATCGCACAGTGTTAGTGGCTGATTTCTTTATGCAGCTGCAGAGGAAGTGGACTGGGAGAATGTAAGGTACATAGATTAGGGTTCCATGTGATCATTATTATTTTATCAAGTCCATGTTTTGGTGGGGTAGATGAACTGAATAGCAATACTCACTAACACTGTCTTGAAGTTAAAACTCGGAACTTAAAATCTAAGCAACGTCTTCTGGTTCTGGGTGTGTGTTGGGAACATTTAAATCTTCAGTAATTGAAAAAGAGGAAGTTCTCCCAGTTATTCAGATTAACAGTAGTAGTCTTGTCAAACTCTCTTTGAGAATTGCTGTTCTTCAGTCCTTCCTCCAGCATACACAGGTATTTGGGGAAACACTGAGGAATGTTGCCATAGCAAAAGGTAGGTCGAATAAAGCACATCTTTTATCTTGGTCATTGTAGAAGTAATAGCTTACAATTTAAGAGTTAATACTCAGTTTAATAACTATGAAATGACAAATATTTTTTAAAGAAAGTTTTATAGATAAACTTGATTTCATAATCACCTTTTTTAAACTCTACTTTGTTACATAGTGTTGTCCTAAGTTTTATAGTTAGTTTTTTCTTCTCCATCTCTTTTTGATGATTGTATCATTTCTATTGCTCATGGGAACTTTTGCATCCAATTTTTTTCTTTTCCTATCCCCCCCCCCCCTTTTT